AGGACTGGGTCAGGCTGATGACTGCCACTGTCTTATAGGACACACATAGACTCTTCAGAGAAATGATGAGCTTACTTATTTGGGAGATTATTCCAGGTTCAGAGAGTGGGAGGGGACTAGGTATGGGAGGTGGTATTTAAGGAATCCCGAGATTGATGGTCTCAACAGTTAAAATTTTGCTTAAAATGTGACATATAAGAATATAAGAAATGCATGAAATAAAAGTAGTGGTGAAGGGAATGTAAAATGAACATCTGTGTGACTCTCATCCAGGTCAAGAAATAGAACCTTGCGAACATTTACGCACCTCTTACCATTCTCAGCAACCTACCATGCCCCTGGTGGTAGCCAGCCACTACTCTGACCATTATGGCGTTTACTTTGCTTCTCTTTATAGTTTTGTAACCTAATTATGTATTCTTAAGCAAGGTAGTGAAATTTTGCTTTTTGGAGGAACTTTTCCCCTAAAGGTTTTAGGTATCTGCACTTTTGTACCCCCAGGAGCAGTCTCATAGAGGAGTAGTCAGAAAGGATATGTGGGGGGTGAACGGGCAAGGGATTCTACACATCTTGGCTTAATGAAATTTGGGGACTTCAGTCTTAGGCGAACTTGAGATCTTTATTTTACCAGGTGATGGAGCTGTATCTTCATTGTTGCCAGGACTCTGGAACTAGCTCGGAGTCTGATTCTTTGAACTACTGCTTCTGAAGTACATGTTTGCTGTGACCAGGGATGGTAATGCCTGGAGATCGCTTTATGCCCATTCTCCTTCTACTCATGTTCCTGCTGGCCTGTTTCCGACTGTATTCATGCTTATGAGCCCCTGTGTATTGCAATATATATATATATATATATATATATATATTTTTTTTTTTTTTTCCTAAGGCATGCTTTCTTTTTTTCTTTCCTAATCTGTTAAATCTATGAGATTTAATCTTAGGCTTTATTTGTAAATGCTTGTTACTCTCTCCCATTAGGCACCTGGAAAGCTTGAGCAAATCAAGGTCTTTCTTTTTTTTTGCAGAGTACTTCGCATTTTCTATGAACCTAACTAGAGAGTGGCATTGTGATAGAGATTGTACCTGATTTTTTTTTTTTGTCTTTTGTCTTTTTTCCGTGTCCAGCAACGGATCGCAACCCTCAGTGTTGCCCCCGCACCGGACCAGGGACCGG